ATAATTCGTTTTAAAATATAGAAAATGTTTTATTTAAAATTATATTAATACAAAAAAAGAATAATATGATAGAATGTTTTTTTTATATTTAGGAATTTTTTAAATTAAAAAATATTTTTAAAAAATATCAGAGTTGTGATTAAGCATTTTAAAAATATTAAAAATATACATAATATTTTCCCCTGTATAAATATTTTTGAAAACTTGAAATCTTCATTTTTTAAAATATTTATAGCATGACCTCCATAATCCCCCACTCCCTCCCCCGCAAATCCGCTAACACATCCACAGCACATTTTTTTCAAGATTGAAAGAAAATCTGGTCGAGTGCGCTTCCATTCATTTTCCATGAGTGTTTCAGAAATTTTCTCATTCGTGTTTATACGGTCGTAAAACTCCGTGGCGAAATTTGGCAGTTGTAAAATTGTCGTGAAATTTTTCCGTAGGTGATGAGCCGTCGGAATATTTAAGGAAGAGACGTCTGGTATCAACGATCGAGACGTCACCATCAAGAAGCCTTCTGGAGCACTCAACGGTGACTTCTATCAGCGGACACAGCAGTTACGTCGGATATTGCACGATCCGCAATGGTATGCCACTGCACGAGTTCTCCAACTTGTCAACGAAGCACAAAAGCGTGAGTTCCATTAAAGATTTGATAATATAAATGTCATAAATATAAATTTGATAATACAAGTACCTCGTATAGATATTTAACGAAATAACAAAATAGCTTACATCGATAACAATGGAGTATCGTGCAATTAAAAGTATGATTACATAATTCAGAATTAGATTAAACAATAAATGACATTTTCGATTGATTCGTAAAAAGTACAATTAAATAAAAAAATACCTTAATTAGAACTTAACTGGATCTTAATGCTTAATTTCGATATGATTTTATAGATATCCTGTTCTATAAACTGTGTGTCGATTTAATTTTCTTGAAATGCAATTTAAAATACAAATCACAAATTTACAAGCAACTTGATGATAGCGATACTAAACGTTTTTAAAAATATTATAAAGAATTTAATTTGTAATATTATCCCCCCTCCCCTCCCAGTTTAAAACCGTATCTGGTATTTCAACATCGAAAATGTTGTGTTTCAACATCGTAAATGAAATTATTGTACAGTTTATAGATATTTATATAAATTCACAATATTAATATTAAGATCGACTAAAATTGAATAAAACATTTTCTATTTAGTTAAAAAATTAAATTGAATACCAATGAGATACAATGATATATATATATATAGTCCTGCGATTTTCTCTCTCTCTAAAACAATTACGTACATAACTTTATATGACTATATTAATTCATCCATAGAGATATATCTTCGAAATCTATGAAAATCATGAATGACGCGATTCAGTTTCAGCCGATGGTGGGTGACGTCTATGAGAGCGGTATGTGTACCTTACCCAGGCAACATTGGCCCAGCCAGAGCGTTCAATCGATGTCGATGACAATGAGTCCTCCGATATTGTACGCCGGTCTGGGCGTCGTCACCAGGACCTGTCCGAGCGGCACGCTGCCGACGAAGGACTGTGAGACACGAGTGCCCGGTCAGTGTTGTCCAGCAATCCAGACACAGAAGGACACGACGATAGGCACGCCAGTGGTGATGGCCAAGAGGGAGAGCTCTGTGTGACCCTACACCCACCACGGGGCCTGCACCTGCAGCGTGAGCGAGTTGCTGTGAATCACGCCGTTGTCAATCGCGAGATAGCCGCGGATCCTGGATGACACGAGCGATCCAGGAAACGTTCGGGAGATGTCTACAGGTCACGCGAAAATTGGAACGTCTTTTAGGAACGAAGCTTCAATTTAAATTCCGAAAGACGTTTGGACAATCGTTATTTAGATCTGAAAATTGAGATGTCTTCTTTGAACGATTTGTAGGGGGATGTTTTCTTTTACCAAACTGGAATGTCCCTCCGACGTCGCTTGTGTCGTCCGGAACGCTTGGGCGAGCCGGTTTGAGTTCGACAGATTTATGTTTCCACTCCATGACAAACGTCACGATTTGCGTCTCTCTGTTGAATCAAGTGCCCTTTTTACACTGAAAAACGACAAATATCCTGACCGGCTGATCTGCCGGCTTCTCTCATCTCTTGTGCGTAGCCTCGTGATCGAGCCCCGATGGAACCAAGACGGGCACCTTATATGGTAGAGAGAGAGAGAGTGAATTTACGAAAATGTGCGTGTGCGCGAGCTCACCAGCTTGCCGCACATACTTCTGTACATACCTCGAGACACGGAAGATATTTTGTACGAGTCGCGTATATTAACGATTTATTCCCACTTTTACTATGAACACAACACTGTACAATTTGTCTAGTCGATGTAAGTATAAATATGTATATGCGTTAAAGTCGTCGGGGAGGCGTCAGACCAGAATAACGTACACTGAGGGGGATGATCATCACCGTCGCGTCACGCGGGTCACGCCGCACGCGCGATATAATTATTTATAACGTTGACAATGCGTAAATGCGAAATAGCGGGACTCTCGCGGGTACGGGAGAGAGAACGGGGGGAGGAGGGAAGGGGAGGGGAGAGGTGAAGTTGTCAGAGACATATCGTTTGTATCTCTATCCGCGGGAATCGAGTACGAGACGAGGCGTACGAAGAGCAGCGAAGTAATGAGACGAAAGACGAAGAAAGAGGAAAGAATGATGAAGAAGAAAAAAATAAAATAAATCCCCGTTGCGCTTTCGTCTCAGTCTGCAGGATTCTGGATTTCACCGTAATATTAAGTATCTCTTGTACAATGTATAAAGTAACGACTTCCTTCGAAGTAAATGTACCGAGTACGATGAACGTTGTTTTTTCAAAGTCTTGAATCTTACTCTATATAGAGAGATGCCCCCAATTAAAAAAAAAAAAAAGTGTGGTACAGTAATCGCGATAGCACTTCTAACTTACTGCCTGTTTCGACGCTTGTGAATCTCGTTGGTAACTTCATTTGGCAGAGGTTTCTCGACCTCTCTGTATCATATAGCTTTAAAATGAAAAAAAAAGAAGAAGAGAAACGAAGGTTCGTCGAAGGGCGCCTCGTCATATCCTCCGTACGATACAGGGATAATCTCATCTCATCGTTGATTAGAACGGCTCGAGTCGCATCTCTGACTACCAGGCTGCTAATTCGCGAAAAGTAAGGTGAAAATTGACCATGTAGCCTTTCCCTTGATATCGAGCAGTCGATTACTGGGCGGTGCATTTCAGCTATATATTATTACGTGAGACGCGCGTCAGAAGTCTCTCCTTTTCGCGCGAAATGATAATACCCCGTACTTTGCTTCGATCTGTACAGATTGATTTTTCGCGTATAGGATTTACGCTCCAAGCACGCGACGATCCTTCTGCGACTGCAAGGACTCACGTGAGACTCAGAGTGCCCTTCATACAGCGTGAGAAGAAGAGAGAGATCTTTCGATGTTCACGTATTATATCTAAATAAGATCGTCGTGTATCTAATCGTTCTAGAATTCGATAACATAATCGTAATTAATCCGATGATAAATGATCGCAAATTTTTTCTGACGTTACAGCGCGTTTTTACGCTCTCTACGAAGCAGCAATATCGATCTAGTTTAGAAAACTAGAACAGGAACACGAGACGAAACTCTTTCAAACGTGTTTCGAGAGCGCGAAAGTTAACATAACTTTCTTCATCGCATTGTTCCTTTTACATTTTAATTATTAAGCATTAAATAATTTTCCGTCTCTTTATAAGCGAGTTTTATCTTCAAACGAAGTCACGATTTCTGTCTCTTTTGACGCGGCCAAGTCATCAAAAGCCAAAAGTTTCGATGAAGCAGCACGGTATTTGTCTACCAGATCGAAACTTCGCGTAAATTGACTATAAAGGGAATGTAGGTTGTGACTGTTTGCAGTCGCGTCGTCGTTGCAGTCTGTTATACGTGCTTGCAAATGAATATGCATAGAAGACGGTCCTCACACACGGACGAAGCATCCACGTTTCAGTGGGAAACGACAGGTGATTATCGAGGATACTTAGCGAATTATTCGATGTGTAAGGAATGTAGAAAACGGCGAAGTCGAAGATTTTATGAGCCGTAAAAAGCTATCACGAGAATTTCTAGGGCGAACACGTTGTTTTCTCAATCGCTTAGATGTTACGTTAACGCGTCGCTCCCGTGAAGAAGATCTATTAACATTTAAAAAAAAAATGAGATGAATCGTTGATTATTATTATTACTGCCATTAATGGAATTGATGTCGGAACATTGTGAGTGTATGTTGTCGAAGAGAATTTTTAGTAATCGTTGATACGCAATTGATACGCGCGTTCCTCCCCCTCCTCCCTCCCTCCCCCTCCCCTTGTTATAACTTTTGCACACACATAGAGATTGTAGCCGTATACAATATAAAAGAACGTTGCAACAAAGAGATTCTACGATCCGACGACGGGGAAATGTCACAGAAACGAAAAAACGTACAATAAAACCTGGATCCAAACTGCCAAAGTTTTCTATACTTCGTTCGTACATATATGATATCACTATATACGCCCACTATGAGAAAAGGTGTGAACTTTTTAATAAATAATAAATAGATTTTTTTTCTAACGAAAGACACACGATTGTCTGAGAAAATATATTTATTAATTCCATTTTATCAACACGTTTAATTAAATCCGAGGAAACATCACAAGAGGAAAAGAAGAAAGAAAGAAAGAAGATAAGTCATCATTTTTCCGCATTTTGCTTGCGAGACAGTTGGTTTCCAGGGCACATTTCTACTTTTCGCTGTTTCCGGTGATCCGGAACCTTTCGGCCATCGAACGCGTCGCGAGGCATAATATCGCAAGGCGGTGGCCAAACATTATTATCTGCAAAACGATTAAACGATATTTGTCAGCCAGCACTGGAAGATTAACGTGAGTGTCGATGTTCAATCGCGCATGAATCGTACAGTTAATTCTCAGTGAAAACATGATATCGACGTCGATTGCACTCAGTGTAACTTAAGTATCGATCGAAAAATGAGACATGTCAAGAGGACTTTGTTTTTTTTGTTAATTTTTTTTTTAAGGTAAGAATGCATTTTGCTGCACTGTTCCGTATGCGTCACTGCCTGTATATCGTAATAATGAGACCGGATCTGACCAGCCGCCGCTTGCGCGAGACAACATTGAAGTTTGTATATGTACTTAGTTTAGGACTATCTCCGACATACACACATACATACACACACCATACACACGAGTCTCATGTACCCCAGAACGTTTTTTTGATATTGTAAATATTCTGAAATAAATAATCGTTTTTATTCACGCGACTCGCGTGATTATTGTGTTCCTCAGCGGTAATCTTCGCACAGATCAACGATGATTCCCCTACAGCATAAAGTTGTACAAAAGTTGCAGCAATATTGCAGAAATTTTGCAGCGATATTGCTGCAAATTCTGTACCGTATGGGTTTGATCAGTTTTTTTATCAACGTCATAAACCCAGTTTCTTTGTTAAATTCACAAATATAAAATGCGTTCCTACTATGTCGAAAACAAATTTTGCAAAGTGTCTGTTACAAAATTCAACGGTAGAATGCCAGCAAAAATATAATAAAATATAATAGTAAATTGATTGATAGAAATCATGTATATAATTTTTGAATATATCATTTATCATTTCATTGTTATTAATTTATTATTATTCCATTTATGTTCTATTCAAATGATTACGAAATAACAGATTCTGCTCGAATTTTTACTGGCAATCTGTCGTAAAAGATTATGTCGGCATTATTACTAGCAGAATACAAAATAAAATCGATGCCAATCCAGTGCAATAATCTTCTGGAATCTACTGGCATACAGCTAACATTTTGCTTACTCGATGTACGTCAGTACATGTAATTCTTACCGTCCCAGAATGCACTCGGCGATGCATCGGAATACATTTGCAAATACTCCTCGACGGTTTTGAGCACGGGCGAATTCACATTCAAGAGAAACTCGAGAACTGTACTCTCAGGGAGATACCGGGCCGCTTTGTCTCCCAAGTTCCGTAGCACGTCTTGAACGTCGATCGACTGTAAAATCGAATGAAACTAGCGTCACGGGATAGAATGGAGGAAATTCTTAGCTTTATATGTTTAGTATCTCGGATTCAAAATCCTTCTCCCCCTTTTTCCAATAATTCTTTGAAGCCTCATCAAATCTCTGTTCGACATCCGCACAGAGTATTGGACGTTTTACATCTCCCTTAGATCTCTGTAAAATTGCGAACCTTTTTGTGCGCACGAACCGTGTTTGCAATATACTCGCATAACGCGTACACCTTTATTAGACAGTTTGAGACTTGCTTTAGAATGTCATCCAATGTTTGAGCTTCTAACGTCCCTATTAAAGTCAGCGGTTTCATGTAGACGTGGCACCATCCTGAGAAGAATCTCTGCAAGTGCAATATATGTATGTGCAATCTTTTTTTTATGTATATCCACATGCACCACATATCAGGCCACCGACTTGATGAACGTGATGATACGAAGGCAAAGGAATTGCTTTTCCGAATTTGCATTTATCGTCGTCCATGACGTACATAAGCTCGTAGTGCTTATAAATGATGTCTTCCCATGCCTGTCAAGAAAATAAATCTCTGCCTTATTTCCATTTCTTTCTTAAAAAAATAACGAATAGATGAATCACAAATGAGGATCGCAATCATCAAAGAAAAATTTTACAATTCGAACGTTTGCAATTTAAATAAGTAATAATTTACTTTAACATTTTCTTCTCTTATGATGTAATGTTATATAATATGAAAAAATATGATAAAAATATTGAAATACCTCTAATATGTGAATGTAATACGATGGATAAACAAGAAATAGTCCTGTAATGGGCAAGTAATCTATGCATAAATCCTGTATAATATTTTCCATTCTCTACGAAATATAAATTATTTAGAAAATGCTTTTCAATCGTAACTTGTGTAATTATAATTTGAATTAGTATTGTTCATAAATATAAAAATATTGTCTCTGTACAACAGGAACATAAATTATCTTTGACATTTACTTATTAACTTCGTTGAATATTGCTATTAATGTCGCTAATTATATTTACTATTTTCTCAAAATACAAAAAGTTTGTTTCCAGAGATTATTGCAGTATCGTAATTATATAAAACTCTAAGAAACAATATATACAATTTACGCTGGTACCTACCTTTCGTAAAACTTCATGAGTTCCATGATATTCTCCAATGTAAATGATTCGCGTAATGTAAGTTTTCTAAAAAAAAGAATGATGTATATTTCAAGACAAAACTATGTAAATTTTAATAACTTACAATTAGTATCATTTCTATTTAAACTTTAGTATTACAAATATTTTATAAACAATATTTTTATACGTAAAAGTTTTATGTCACTGTTTCAGTATTATTTTGATTAAAAATTATTAATTATAGATACATATTAAACAATCAAATAGTACAACTTACGTAATCAATAGCGCGAAGATTATATTGTATCACATCTAAAGCACTTTTTCGCACTGGTTCAGCTAATGACGCCATTGGAAGTTTCGCAACAATTTTTCTCTTACTAGCCATTAATGCGTATTATATTCTGCTGTTAACTTCGTAAATTCGTCTTTCACATAAAAGCAGAAATTCTGCGTATATTTTTAATATGACAACGTAATGGCGATGAAAAGAGCGATCTGAACGTTCAAAGAATTCCTGTTCAACGAGAATGCTTACTTTGAAGCTATCTTCGTTACTACAAGTTTTATATACACAGTGAATAAAATGGAAAATACATATTCAGTATCATGAATACTTGAATAGTCACATAAATCTGTGCCAAAAATTGAGCTATTCTTCAGCTCGTGGATATATAAGAACGAATAAAAGGTAAAAAATGAAAAACATAAATTGATAATGCTTTCGGATGAAGGACGCTCAATATATGTATTAAATAAAATGGCCAAATAATTTTTTTAAATCAGGTCTCTAAAAATATATTTATTATAAATTTCTACACTTATGATTAGGTTGCTTTCGCAAATCAGAGATCCATGAAATCTATACAATTAAGTAGAATCAAAATTTAAATCTAAATACGTAGTATCAAAGGAGCTATGAAAAATTAAAGTGACAAGATTATGCAATAAACGATTTTGCATTTTAATTCCTCACGAAAGTATATCAGTTTACGCGTTATCACAAGAGAGTTAACATCAATTATCATTTGTATTATCGCGCTTATTCTAAATATTATCTATTAAATCACATTGCTAAATTGTGAATAATTCTAATTATTTTTTTGCTATAATCGGCAACAACGGCGGTGTTGGCTCGCTAGGATTACCTAACCACACGGATTTACTAAAGCGTCCCTTTATAACGGGCGCTTGCCACTTGTTACTGGACACGACGGTAGCCGTCGGTTTCTCCGCCGTGACCGTGGCTACGCTTACAGTCCTGAAATAGTAATAAAGATTATTTAAGAGTATATGAGTGAAAAGATCACGTATTAAGCGTAATAATGCGAACTAAGTCTCTGGTTTAACGAATTGAAATAAAACTGTTTACAGAACATCACGAAACGAAATAATAAAACAAGAATGTTTTCATTACACGCATTCCTTAGGAAAGAAATAACTATTGTGGTGAAGAATTTTTACACGGAACTTTAGTAGAACAAGACAGGAGAAAATGAAAAGGTATTCGTAATGCACAAACAGCATTTATTAATGAAAAACGTATTACAAATCTTTTTAAGCGCTGTTTATTTTTTAATAGTAAATTTACGAAAAAATAATTTCTCCAAATTTGAGTATGTATTAAGGGTTATTCCCCGGGGCTTACTATAATAATACACACTCATCCTATTCATATCCTCCACCCATATCCTCACAAATTGTTTATATACTTTATACGAAATTTCGTGCCCGCGATGCACGAATTGGAAGGCTCTACTTTATATTATGTATAAATTGCTCTACGTGACTAACATTTTGCAACATTAAAAAATTTTAATGTGACGAGATAATTGAGATGAATTTGTCATAAAAAGAGTAATTCTAATAAAACATAAAATTATTAAAAAAATTTTACCAAGATGGTATAACAGTAGCAGTGTAATATTTATCACAGTATAAATGTGTGATTGTTTCAGAGAATAAATCCAATGTTAAAGACATGATTATAATAATAAATTATATAAACACAAAATAAAACAATAAAGATGGATGGAGAACATAGGTGAATCACAATTTTCATGATAACGATTATTATAACACTTTATGTTTTCTATCTGACAAAAACTAGTACGTAAATAAACACAAAATAATTCACGATTGTCTATTCTATAAATTGATTAGGTCCTCTAATGCCAAGGTACTTGACTTGGATGACTGATGGTACCCAGTTTGTAGTACCTGGTGGTAGATGGCATCTGTTGAGCTGGTGTAGACGAACTCGGCGGAGTCGCTACGATAGGAGTTTCAGCACCCTGAGCTGGAACACCGTCTCCTTTGAGAACAGAGATGCATTTCCAATGATTAATAAAATTATCCTTCCACAATCGGACGCAACCATCGTCGCCAGAACTTGCTAAAATTGTTCCCATACAGTTCCAGCTAACACGCCAGACGGTGCAGTAATGATCATCGAACTGTGCGACTACATTCGTTTCAAAATGCGATACACCAGTCTGTGTACTCTCGCTGAAAAAAAAAATAATATACATTTACTTTCCTGCTTCCCTAGTATTTTTTTATGCAATCTTGAACAGTTTTACTTACTCCGTCGGTTTTAAAGTGACTATCCGTACATCTTTTGTAGCTATAGCCAGTGTGTGGAAATTTCTGCCTAGATTAGGAGCAAACGCAATGTCGTAAACAGCATCTGTAATGCTCGACAATGTCTCGGCCTTTACCCAACGCCTACTGTTCTCAGAATATTCGTAAATAAAGATTTTTGCTCCAAATGTAGGATTTGGATCGTCGCTACCAACTGCTATCATAGGCGGATGTAGTCTGAAGTATATTTTTATTAAATATTAATTCAAGCACATTAGGAGCCGATTCTGTAACTCTTAATGACAGTTGTTGATGTCGTTGCGCAGATATTAGAGTAAAAAAGCTGCGCAATGACATCAACGATTGATGTCGTTAAAAGTTACAGAATTGGCCCCTAAAATTGATGTTATTTTATCTAATACATTAAATGTTATTATTACGTAATACATTATTAGGTCTTATTATTATATAATAAATTATATTTTTAATATCAGTAACAAAAATTTAAAAAAAATTAAGAGATAAGAGCACACTTACCTAGAGAGAGATGGATTCCATGTAAGACAACTGCATGAAAGTTTACAGTTGATGTCATGTTGTAATGTCCACTGACTCAAATTCATGATATCTGGTGCTTCATATATCCGAATGAATCCATCTGCGCTACAAGTGGCCAGAAGAAGACCTAAAGTTTTTGGTGCAAACTTTACATCTGTGACAGAAGTACGTGAATCAACTAAATTTGTTCTTTTAATCCAATGTTTGCTGCCACGAGCTTCTGGTCCCGAACCTTCGCCAACTATCAAGAAAAAGAAAAGACGTAGGGAATATAACGTCAATAGAATATAACGTCAAGCTTAGAAACATGGAAGAATAAAACAAAATCCATCATACCAATTTCCTCCCAAACAGCAGCGGTACGATCAAATGAACATGTAGCGAGAACCTGACCAAATTCTGGATGTGCCCAAGTAACTTTCCATACCGATCCACTGTGGGCCTTCCAAGAAGCAGTTAGATGCCAATTTGCATGCTCATCTTCATCCCAAACCTGTAATATTTCATTAAATCTACAATATTTCATAAATAAATATATATTAAAATAGAAATTTTTATAAAAATTAATTCTGAATTATACATTTAATATTTATATTTAGCAACAATTAAGTATGTATAGGAAGAATCTAAATCGTATGTCTATAAGTCTGTTTTTTATAATTCAACTAGTACACACTTTTTGAAATTAAAGTGAAACAGATATAAAAGTAAAATGTTTATGTGAACCTTTATGATATTGATTAAATTAGTTATTCGTAACATGATAGATACATAAATCAGTTGAGATGTTTACTAAACAAAGTCAAAGTAAACGCAAACATTGCGAGTTGTTTCTACTGTGTTATGAATATATAATTTAAATGTATCAAACATCCCCATAAATGCTCACATAAGCATTTTACTTGTATCAGATATATTCTTCTTTTAGATGGACTTCACAAATATTACTATTTTATTTTGATTTAATTTTAAATAAGTTTAATATTTGATGAAAACGAGAAAAAAGGTTCTATAGTGCAGTCTAATGCAGGAATAAAAACAGACTTTATTCCTTCCTTTACTGTACCTTTACAAATTGGTCACTGGAGCATGTCGCCATTCGTTCCCCATAGTAATCGTAGGCGATGTCGTGTATAAGATCTTTGTGCTCTGCATTGATGCTGTGTGCCTCATACATCGCAAATGAAATAAATGTCAGTATACACTCGAGAGATTGTTTACTAAACGCGCCACACATTGAAGGTTATGATACAGCGTGCTCCGTGTCGACGTCTGTCGGCACCAACAGAATTATGGGTGTTCGAATCTGCTGGAATCTACGCAAGATATGTGAATGGCAGCGCTCTCTATATCGTTTCAAACTTTTTTCAAATATTAACATTTACAAAGCTCAATTTAATGAAAATTACGCTGAGATTTAATTATCAATCATGCAATAGAACATTAATAAATTAAAGAATAATTAAAGAATCATAAATTAGAGTCTAATAAAAATATTATATTTCGTTCCTCCTCTATCCTGCAAGGAAACTATAATATAAAACATGCAGATATAAAATTAATAAAAAAATATTTGCTTTATAACATAAATTATTTTATGTATTAAAATTTTATTTCAAATATTACCATCTACAGGGTAATTTCCCACAAGAAATTGCTGAAACTAATCAGCTATCTATTTCTATAAAATGCATAAAAAATTTAGTATATATAAATATGTATAATCATATATGAAATATGTCCATATATGTTCATCCCTCTTTCTTTTGTAAAATTACTTTTTAGTATAATAGAAATAATAATAATATATAGTAAACATGTATATTTATACATAATTATGCATAATTATGCATAACAAATTTTTACCAGGACATAGCAAATAATAAAAATAAAATATCTTTTATATGGCAGTTTTATTTACACATAAATAAAATAATAAAGACGATCGAAAACATTTTTATTATTTAATAAATGTTTATAAGAATGCTAATCTCATAAAATATATATCGGAAATTTAAATAAAATATTTTATGATTATTAAGATTGACAATATTTGGCATTTTTATAAACATTTATTAAATGATAAATTTAATTAAATTTATTAAGTGATTAAATATCAGCAAAAAAAAAATTTTTAATATAACAAAAAAATTTTCAACTTTTATAAGCGAACAGATATACTTTTTTCTTCATTTAACAACGAGATTAAATATTGGCAAATTACTGTTCTCGTATTAATTGATTATGCTAAACGTTACGTTACAAGATCCTCTAGGGCAACTAGCATTACGGCGCAAAAGTCGTATGTAAGGCCGAAGGCGGTTTCGGATAACACTTTGACCCGTTCGTATGGTGTCCGTTATCCGAGACCAACTCGCTCTCGTGCAATTGCAGCTGCAAATGTATTCCTTGGCCACCCCGGCTGATCGTCATGAATGCGATCAGGTGTATCGCGATAATGACCGGATATTTTCACGAATCTCGCTCCAGTAATAGCACCAATCGAGCTATCATTATCGTGTAGTTAAGGTTGAATATCAGGTGATCCTCAAACAGGTAACAACCGATTATTATATTTATTCATTATGATATATAAAAAAGGAAATATACAATCTCTGAATTGAACTCATTACTTTTTTATAACATTTTTATGCTTCGTAGATATTAAGGTAAATGTAATATTCTTTATATCTTTTATGTTTTTATTTCTGTTTCTTTTCTGTTGAAATAATTTGACTTTTTGAAAGAAATTGAAATCTAACAAAGCAATATCAAGCAAATGAGATAAGCATTAAAAAATTATAATATAAAATGCCATTGACATGGCGTTTTTATTAACTTTATATATTTTAAGCTTGTAGAAATAAATGTGAAAATTAAAGAAGCGCCAATCAATCAAACAAAAATAAAATAAATCTTTGCAATAATGCAGAATGGTGTTAACAGGAAATAATACTAAAATAATTTCTCGAATATTAATACATCGAGAGGAATAGCTTACTCGAGTCCTGGCATCGCTGTCACCTATACCCTTTATCGTATTTCCGGGCCATATTATGTCTATGGCACTTGCATACGGTGTAAATAAATACTCCATATCATGGAGTGTCATCAGGCACTTCGGCCAGTCGTCTTGTGTGTGAGATATGGCGATACTTCGTCGCCTTCGAGTCAGTGCCGAGATCGAGCTGTGAAATGTCGGACTGAAGCTTCTTTGTGTTAAAAGAAAAAAATCTAAAGATAAAAAATCGAGTGATATTTTTCGTGCGATCGAGCAACCAGAATTTCCGTAATTACGCGAAAATCATGCATAAAACGTGATCGTCAGAAAGTAAAATCAACGAAAGTGATTTTGGTTTGTCAAAAAAAAATAATTTTTTGTTTTTATTTTATAATATATATACGTAGCATAATAATTGTGGCATTAGAGCAAATGTGATACTTAAATATTTCTCAAAAGATTAGAATAATAAATAACAATAAAATTCATAATAAAATAAAAAATAAAGGATTTATTTCATTTAGAATTATTAAATAAAAATTTTAAAATATTAATTATTCGTAAATAACATATTTTAAAATTAGAAATGATAATTATCAAATATATCATGAAAAGTACTGCGTCATATTTGCCCAAATATTATAATCACGCTAATTAAATCGACGATTTATAAAGCAAGTATTTCCGGTGAAAAAAATCTTTACAAATAAAATCACGATTAAATGAAATCTTTATATTTTCAATTAAATATATAACTCAACGATATAATTCATCGCCTTGTGGCGATATACGGCATCATTCTTTCCGCGAAATGTGCGCGCTGTGCCGTCGGTAAACAGAGTGTAAGGACTTTGTAAAAATACCATTAAAAGTATTATGCTCCGTTTATCAACAGTACGGTGTGACGGAATCATCTGCTGATCGAACTAAAAGAAAGAACTCTTCGCATTTGATTTTTGCGGCTCCCATATTCCAGCATAACTCAGCCATGTCATTATGAAAGGCATTATGCTAGGAATATGCGGTGTCGTGAATTTGCATGCCAATCCTCATGGTGAAAGTTCAGGAATGTCGCCTACGAATTGTATGGCGATAAAATAAAATATCACAAAATATTCTTTAAATATTAATATAGATAGACGTGAACATTATAATTTTTCTGCACTATTTATGAGGCCGAAAAAAATACTCTGAAATTGTATTGTATTTGCTAATTTCTGATTAAACGACTGCAACGATTACGAAGAGTACCTCATTCGTTAAATGTCAATAAACAGAAATATGCGTCTGTCGCATCAAAGAATGTACATTGTCCATATAATGTACTCGCATTATTTGCAACGTCAATCAAATCTCCTGATTCATCGAGGTTATCCATCTTTGCGACCTTATTGCATTTATTTCTATATGTTGTCAGTGTATATCGATAGCGCGGTAATTTGCGCGAGGAATTCGTTGAGAGCGAATCTGCAATTATTTCGCTTTCGTGACAATTCCTTCATGTCACGAACTAGTCGCGTTTCTCGTGTGATCATGCAATAGGCAAGAAATCGTTTCAAATTTTTGGTAAGTTCAATTTTCGATGTCTTTTTTTAGACACAATATATCTGAACAAATATAAAACAAACCGAGCATATTTAATAATAGCATAAAATTGAAAATTTAATTAATTATTAATTATTAAATATTTTATATTTATGTGAAAGTATTAATTATTAATAGTGCAATTAGAAGTATTAGAACATTATACTATATAAATATTTAACTATAATTACAATATTATGTATCGAACACACAACTGAGTAATTACTTTTAAAACTATGTAAACATCTTACAAAAATTGCTATGTATATGTGATTGCGTTTTAAAGATAAGTCCTTCTTTTACGTCTTGTAATTTTCTGTAATTTTATATTACTATATATTAATGATCAGTTAGTATTAAATTGATAAAACTATGGAACAGTATTTTCTGTTTATTTAAAATTTACTTTTTCTGTTTATTTAAAATTTATTTGAAGTTTAAGCATTACAATCAATTATAATATTTCAACATTATACAGGCTATTTGATAATTAACAATAAAACTCGCATAGCAACAGAATGGATTAAATTGAGTTGAAAAGTCTTCTACTATTTTACGATTTTTGCAATAGTTAACAAAATTAATTACTAAAAATTGCCGAATATTTGTTTTCAATAATTTTTTACTCAAGTACTATCAATTTTATAGAAAAACAGTAAAAAACAAAAATTATTTATGTTTTTCAGAACTCTAAAAACTTTTTCAGAATTTTTTACCAATTTTTTAGTACTGTATTTTCTTATTGGGCAACTAGTTTTACCAATATGAGAAAATACGGTATTAAAAAAATTCTGAAAAAATTCTCAGTATTTTATGAAGAAAATAATTTTTGTCTTTTGCTGTTTTTCTGTAAAGTTGATAGTATTTAAGTAAAAAATTATTGAAAACCAATATTCAATGATTTTTAGTAATTAATATCTTATTAACTATTATGAAAATTGTAAAATGATTTTCGACTCAGTTTGTAGTCTATTCTGTCGCTATGCGAGTTTATCAGACATCTTGCATAAGTACGATGGCGCTTTGACTTGCGTTAAACAGTTATAATCGTTATCATAAATAAATATATCTACAATTTGTTACAATCCATATCTCTCTCTCTCTCTCTCTCTCTCTCTCTCTCTCTCTCTCCCTCTCTCTCTCTCACACTGAATTTATATCTATATTAATCTCAGTGAAGAAGCAATAGTCGTTGAAACTTGCGAAGAAAATGCGTGTGGCCGTCGTAGGCGCTGGTGTAATAGGAGTATCAAGTGCGTTTGCTGTGAAAAGCGTTTTTCCAAGTTATGATGTGAAGATCTTCGCTGATGCATTCTCACCTGATACTACTGGCGATGGAAGTGCTGGTTTATGGACTCCTTTTCTCCTCGATGACACACCTGCTGAGGACATAACGTAAGTACGCTCGATTATATCTGCTGATAATAAATGTGAAATCACACGTTATGAAGATTTCTCGAAGGAAAATATAGACATTGATTTTTTTTGTTGAATGCTTTTACAATTTATCGTAAATATAGGTACAGACCTATAGATCTGAACCACCCAGTATTTCTGATAAATAATAAATTATGATACTTAATTACAATAATTATATTTATAGATCAATTCTAAACAGAATCGTAAGACTTATAGATCAATTCTAAGCAAAATCGTAACGTGTTCTCGTAAAATTTGTAAGAACTTGTGACTAATATTCTAATTTTATGCATATATAAGACGTACAATTATTATAAATATCTACTAATATCATTATATATATAAATATCTATGATTTCTAGTAAATTTTATGGCTAGTCTGTATAAATGTGTCTGTAAAAAAACTGTCTGTATTATATAAAGGTATATAAAGCACTTAAAAATTCTTATAAATTTTATAGGAATATGTTACGAGCCTTATAATTCTGCTTAGAATTTAAGCAATAATTATAATAATTAATTGTATGGTATTTTGTTAGTCGATGGGCTGGTAACACACATCAGTGGTTCGAGCAATTTTGGAAAGCCGGATTATCATCAAAAACGGGTGTTTCTCTACTGCCTGTAACTTGTGTTACTAGTGATTATAAGGATTACGTTGAGCCACTATGGGCAAAATTTGTCTATGGCTTCCAAAAACTAAGTAACGAAAGATTACAACGCTTAAATGAAGAACACAAGTCCAATTACAAGTAAATTAAACCTTTATAAAGTGGCTTAAATATATAAACACTTCAAACCATACAGCCACGTCGCAAGATATATCTCTTAGATTTATATATTTTTGTAACTTCATAATTTTAAATAAATAACATTTACTAATAATATCTTGTGGCTGTATGCTCTTTGTTTGAATTAAATCAATTACATTTTCCGCGTTATATCTTAAACTTAAATTATTATAAAATTAAATAATTAAATTAAAAACTATTACATATACAAAATCTGAACGAATCGCTTTATTTTCATTTTAATTATCGCTTATAATTATTACTATCTCTTTCGAATGTTTATCGAGATTTGAAGTTAACAATTTCAGACAAGGTATACAATATATAACTTATACTTCTGAACCGGTTCTATTCCTGCCGTGGCTCATGGAAAAGTTTGTTGCTTTGGGCGGAGAAATGGAAAGAAGGAACATTAAAATGTTGCATCAATTAGCAGAAGAAGGGTATGATTTAATAATAAACTGCAGCGGGCTCGGTGCACGAGAACTCGTCGCAGATGAAACGATGACGCCTATTAGGGGTCAGGTGTACAGGGTAATTGACCCTCCAATCTACATTACGTCTCCTTATTTTTAAGTAGATTCAAGTTATCATTAAAATTATAGTAGTGATTCATTTATATATTCCATGTGCGTGAATGTAAAAATATTTTAAAAAGTTATCGTTTAAGTGTCGATCTTTTTCATAAAAAATGAAATCGTACGCTATCTCTTCTTTAACTTTCTTCTTTATGTGTCTGATATATCTTCTTTAAAGTATTGCCTTGCTGATGAATGTAAAACTAACTCATTTAGAGATGTTTATTTAAGGTAAAAGCACCTTGGGCAATGCATTGTTTTGTGGCGAATGATGATGCCTCATGCAATTACATTATTCCTAAGTATGTAATATTAATAATATTACATATTTATTGACAGTTTATTCCACGGCCTCTATAATATTTGTCCACAGCATCCATAACGTCGTAATAGGTGGTACTCATCAAGAAGGCGATTTCGATCGTTCCGTACGAGAAAAGGATTCGAAACATATTTATGATGGATGTTGTCGTATAATGCCGTCTCTAAAGGTCCCTAGAAAGATACTCGAAAATTTAGTCCTCTGTTAGCTATGTGGAATTTTATATCATCTGAATCTTAAAATTTTGGTGCAGATTTTTGTATTTGTTTCGGATTGTAAAATCTGACAAATATATATTGAAAGCTTTAACAATGAGATTTTACTATTGTAGAAGTCGGATTGTATTTTACTTATTTTTTACAGATTTGAATTCATCTATCAAAATTTACAATCAAAATATCTGTCTTCAAAATTCAACTTGGTTAACAGAGGATTAATAAAAGCATATTGTATGAAAACCTGAAAGAGTTCTTGTACTAAAAGCTTCAATAACGAGTTTTTACTATCATAGAAATTAGATTGTGTTTTATTTATTTTTTACTAGGTAACATGCATGTTGCATAAGATATCTAAAAAACGTCTTTTAGATGTCTTACGTCTAAAAGATATCTTTTAGATATTTTATGGAACATAAATGTTACCTGAGGTTACATATATTTAAATTCATCTATGAGAATTTATGATCAGAATATCAGTGCTTTCAAAGTTTAACTTGGTTGGTGGAGGATTAATAAAAGACCAGTAATTTCTCAAAATAATTTACGCTTGTAATTTCTGTCGTAGGGGAGTGAAATAATACGCGCGTGGGTGGGCCTTCGACCAGGACGACCGCGAGTTCGTCTGGAGTGCGAGAGCCTCAGCTCGTCCATGGGAAAAGAGTTCAAGGTAAATTGCCATAAGATAATATACTGTTAACTATATGTCGAGAGTAATATTGAGTTGAACTTTAACACAGTATCATTCGAGCGCCGCTAAACTTTATGATCGCTTCTTATAATGCTTGTTTCGTGCTTTATATTTTAGGTGATACACAATTACGGCCACGGCGGAAGTGGCGTGACGTTGTGCTGGGGGTGCGCCATGGATGTCGTGGAGATGATAAAAAACTTGAAAGTGCCTGAATTAAACTCCAAACTGTAACTTCAGGGACAGAATAAACTTTTTATCCTACATACATTTTTACCTGCATCGTTGTAGGGCGTTTAAACCTTGCTCGACCCTTTCTTTTTACATCGCCCGAAGAATTGTGTCGTTAAAAATATTATTCATATTTTTACTTACCTCCTTTTTATTTCAAATTCAAATTAAATCTAAATTGTTTCTCCAAGCGAGAGGAACGGGTGTTACCGTTAAGAACTTTCGTTTTTCTCGATCCGCATTGCTCGTGCCTATTTGACACTTGATCGATATTCGTAATTCTTACTTTAGACCTACTTGTTTCGCATAACAATGGCAAAAAGTCGAGAAACATAATTAAACGTCAAGAAAGCGAACGTAAGCGCGCGAGAGTTCAATCTGTGCGGGGCGCACCAACCTATTTAAAGTTTCGTGTCGTGCAGATCACTTCCGTAACTGTACATACAATTTCTAAATATGGTCGTCAGGCTGTAATTAAAGCACCAAACTAACTACTAAGGTACCTTACATGTCGACCATGCCGCAGTAGTCGCGTAAAGCTAGACGTCGGTGACGCGTGTCTCTTCAGTCGCAATACGATCTATATCGGCCATACAGCTTTCCTTTCGCAACAGGATTTGTGTTTTAACGTACGTTGTCAAAATTAAACAAGAAAATCGACAGGTACGTTCATTAATATAAAAAATAAATTTTATATAAATTTGATACGTTTGACAAATTTGAATTTCGTCCTAAAAAATGTTACATATTCTTTATAGAGAAACCGTTGTATTTTTTATATTTAGCAGTAATCATATATTATAAGTAATGATTTATGATGAATAAGAAACGTCTTAATAAAATTCTAAATATTTAAATATAAATTCAAGCATTGCTGAAGTTGAGTTTTTTTCTTTAGACTAATTACATAAAGCTAAAGCTAGAAATTTTGAAGATGACAGTGACTAGTTTCTAAAAAATTGTATCAGAAAGAATTTATTTATGATTAAATTTGTTAATCTGGGGATCGATTGTATATCTGGAAACAAAATGAAAATTACAAAAGTGAACAAATTCACTAAATGAAATAAATATCTAATAAATATCACTAAATGAAATAAAAATCTAGTAAATTTGCTCACTTTTGTCATTTTTTCATCATGATTTTCACCTTGTTTCAGATATATATATATAATCGACTTTTTGATTTGATTCGTATCGATTAACACGATTATCACGCGACAAATGCAAATGCGAGAGGAATTAAGTTCGAGATCGAGTTTGACGCGTATTGACTGACAGCGTGATTGAAATAATCGAATAATGGAAAGCAGCAGCGGTCATGATCATCATCGAATACAGCGACAATCATCCGCTGATATTAAAAATTCGCGATTTTAAAAATAATTCCAGAAACGAGAGCTTAACGAACGATCAAAGCATCAACGAGTCCGACAAGAAGGGACCCTGCAAGTCGTCATTTCAAAATCACACACAGAAATATATCAGTCTCAACAATTCCTTGAATTTATCGCTTGCAAACGACAGAATAGGTGTCGCCAAGTATGACTTCGAATATCTCTGGAAGATCACCACAGATAAAAGCAATAATACAGGTATTCGTAAATCCGACAAATTGAGAAGGCAAATTCAAAATCACATTTAATAACAAATTCACGCGAGATAGACATAACGAAGAATGTACAAAGAGAAAAACTGGATAAGAAGATCTGTAAAAACTTTGGCTGCTTCAGCGATCTGATTGCTGGGAAACTCATTTCTTTAATTTAATCTTAAAGGATGATTTTGCTGAAATATTCAAAAATTTAGTTAAATCTGGACATATAATTTTATTGAACTATAAAATAATTATGTAGAATGCTCGGACGAGCTGGTTACTAAAATGTAAAAACTTTTTAAAATACTGCTCATGCTTAAGTTTCTACGTAATTATTTTGATAAACTAACAAAATTATTTTTAAATTTACGTCTAATTTAATTTTTAAATACTTCAACAAATTCGTTCTTTCTCCGTGTAATTTTATAAAAATATTCTCTCTTTATTACTCTTTAAAGACGCTTTTTATTTACTCTTTAAAGACGCTTTAAATTTTCCACGCTTTTATGTCCTAGTATTTTTTTATAATCATTAATTTTTTATATTGATTAATAAAACTTTCCGAATAGCATTACGCGAAGGAAGTGATTCAAAGCGACTCAAAGAGGAAGAAACGTCAAAGATCTGGATTAAAAAAAAACAGAGGTACTGCAAAGAACTATACATTTCGTTTAGGAGCCGAAATTGACTTTGCAATTTAACGAAACAGATTTTTAACAATCTGCACGGTGAATTGCAAGTACGACGTGGTTAGACGTGTGGCCGTGCGATTCGGAATGAGGGAAGTTACGGAGGACAGCAGTTGGAATCTCTATTGGACCGACCTAAGCATCAATGTAGAGCGTGTCAAAGACATGAAGAGGTTCCAGAGGGTCAATCATTTCCCCGGGATGACAGAGATATGTAGAAAGGATCTACTCGCTCGTAATCTCAATCGCATGCAGAAGCTGTTCCCGAAGGACTATAATTTTTTCCCGAAAACTTGGTGCTTTCCCGCGGAGTAAGACACACACATTTTAATGATTTAAACTGTTCATTTAGCAAATGATACAGTTCTAATAAAATTTTATTATTAGAATTTTATTGTTAATAATCTCAATCGGCAAAAATTTATTTTCCGTTTCACGTTTAAATTCAGTGCATCAAACTTGAATAACTAATATGAAACACAAATTATACAATTTTTATCTCAGTGTCTTAAGCATATAAAACATTTTCTATAAAATATTCATCCTTCGCGAATAAAATTTGCTTAATAATTTTACGGTCTATTTATACACATATTTCGCTTTGAGTCTAATTGAAATTTTATTTTTTCTTAGTATAAATCACACACACACACACACACACACACACACACACACACACACACACACACACACTCATATTTTTTAATAATAATAACAATCATAGATGAGATTAAATATCGTATGATTCTACGAATCGTTTCATGTGTCAAAATAAAAAATGCGGTCTATCGATTGAAAGTCCTCATATCTATTTTACAAGCGCGAGGTTCTCGTATGCGTGAGTCATTCTGTTTTGCTTCACTGAACGATCGCTCTCGGGTTCCCAGTCGTAAATTCCAAAGGTTTGCCATTACGGTGATAAAGAATAATCAATATTTCCCAAAGTCAAAGAGTGTATAAGCAGATCAAAAGCTCTGGATTTCGACTTCCAGTTATCGTGACGCGAAAGTTTACGCCAAGTCGCGGAGACTAAAAACCTTCATCGTCAAACCGGATGCCGGCTGCCAAGGTCGTGGTATTTATTTAACAAAACATTTAAAGGACGTTAAATCAAGCGAACGTTTGATTTGTCAAGTATACATCACAAGGGTAAGAAATATTAATTTTTCCCGCAAGAAAAAATCATTGGAAGTTTACCGATTAACTCTTTCTTTTTTATAAATAAGATATAATTTTTTATACACTTCTGTTTTCTTTATATTCTCTTGAGATTCTCTAAAATTTGTTCAGATTTCTTTCCAACTATATACGCAATTGTAACCAAAAAATTTCACAGTTACAGCACAAAATAAGTATAATGTAGCCTTTTTTCTTTATATTCTTAGCCCTTCTTAATTGATGGATACAAATTTGATCTACGTATTTACACACTAATCACGTCATGTGATCCTCTCAGAATCTATGTATATAATGAAGGACTCGTGAGGTAAGACATAAATGTAAAAAAAAATACTTAAGAAAATAAATCTTAATGGCATGAGATATAATTCTCTTAAAATATTTTATTAATATAAATAATTACTTTTTTATATAAATAGTTACTTTTTTATACTTTTCACACAAATTTACACACATATACATATATATGTATATATTTTTTCAATTTATTGGGAAGTGCAAAACACATCACATTTTTAGATTTGCAACCAGCAAATACAAGGAACCGATCGGATATAATATTTCTAATATGTTTATGCATTTGACAAATTACTCCGTTAACAAGCATAATCGAATGTATATTATTGATGATGAAATTGGTAGCAAAAGGTTCGTATATATTGGCTGTAGAATTGGCGATAAAATACCAATCGTACAGCAAATTATTCCTTACAGAAAAATATCAACATTGAATAAGTGGTTTAAAACGAAAAATATCGATGTAGATGAATTATGGAATAAAATCGACGAAATTATAATTAAAACTATAATTGCCGCATATCCTGTATTGAAACATAATTACCATGCGTGTTTCTCGATGCACAATATGACTTGCGCGTGTTTTGAGCTATTGGGATTCGACATTTTGCTCGACTGGAAGCTCAAGCCTTACCTTCTTGAAGTAAGCTTTTCAGAGAGAGATTAAGACATCTAAAAGAAATATTATTAAACAATAAAAATAATAAAGGTTGATGAGACTAATGAAAGTCATACGTTGTTGTGAGTGCGAAGAGATAGACGAAATAGATAATCCTCAGATATTCACAGTTATCTTCATTTTATTTCGTCGAAACAAACCTTTATTATTTAAAATGAACCTTTATTATTTTTGTTGTTTAATAATTGAGAGTCCTTATTTATATTTATATTTATTTATTTAATTAATTGTGTTTAAATATTATTAAATATATTCTCTCTACAATTAGTAAATCTATCAGGTAAATCACTCGCCAAGCTTTCACACAGATGCACAGATAGATAAAGATGTAAAGGAAGGATTGCTGATGGACACCTTCGATATATTAAATTTACAACAATATGATAAAAAGAAAATAATAGAGGAAGACAGGAAGCGAATCAGAGAGCGACTTCTTCAAGGCTTAAACGGAAAGGATCTCAGGCAAGTGAAATATTTCAAAGAACATAATATAATTTATATAGATAATTGATCTTCTCATTGCATCAATCTCGTAGTAATTAATTCCAATTAATTACAAAACTTTATTAAACTTATTAGTACAAAATTGGCATCCAATTATAAACACTTTTTTACAATCCATACGTGATATAAAAATTAAATCTGAATTTTTAATTAGTATTGTATGTTAAAATATTTATTGAGAGTTTCTCGTTTTATAATTATAAAATATAATTCATAGAACATAGAATTTAAAAAATTCGAGTTTTTCCATATATTATAACAGAAAATATATTGCAATAAAAGTCTGATAATAAATCGAAACGTTACAATGCGCAGTCAAATTAATGACTCAGCTTCGATAAAATCCGATAGAAACGAGAACAATTACATGCAGAGGCAATTTCAGTGGGAGGACGACCACATGGGCAATTTCCGAAGAATTTATCCATGCTTTGACGAGGATAAATATCAGTCTTTCTTCACACAGAATGCTCTTTCCGTTTTCCAAGATACGATGGCGTCAAGAGCGCGCGAAGAAGCGTCGAGAATAGAGAGAGAAGAAAACGAGGTAAATTTTTCACAATTTTGTATCCTCAACTTGGCAAATGAATCTTTAAAACAATTCTTCATATTTATTAATATTACGTTAAAATTATTGCCAATACGATATATATGTATATATGTGAAGCGAAACGAGATACTTTTTAGTTTTTATATAAAACGTATAAAGTATAACATCATAAAGCTTTTATTAGAGATTTTTATGAAATTAATATAAAACTTTTTTAAAATATGGCGAGCATTGACATTAATAAAATTGCTCGTTGTTCATCCAATAAAATAAACTGCAGCATTAATCCACACATACACACACATAAGCTTTAACTTTAATAAATTATTATACTCAAGAATTATATTATCAAATTATTATTATTAAATTGATGTTTTTTGTAATTATTTTTTAATACCTTAATAAATTATTCTTAATCTTTTAATCGGTTACTTTTCATAAATAATTTTGTCTTATTTCAGTTAAAAGCAAAAGAGGAAGAACGCAAACGAATAGTCGGGAAATGGAACGAGCAAAAATTACACCCTGAAAGTTCAAACGCACCAAAGAAATTGCAACAGAAAAGTAAATCCGCAAGCATGATAAGGAAAAACGTTAGTATACAAAACAGTTCTATTCTATTTAATTGAATTGTCACCTATACAGAGAAATGCTTCATTATATATATGTGTGTGTGTGTGTGTGTGTGTGTGTGTATATTTTTTTCATGAAAATAGCTATGAATAAAAATTAGAAGAGAATAATTATCTCTTATTAGAAAAAGTACGAAAACTCGGCAGAAGTTATAAATGGAATGTTAAATGAGATGGGACTTTTTCCTCTACCTCCGGGAAAAAGCAAGCACATTATCATCGTTGCTTTTTCGCAGATCAATAAGCAGGATGCAGAGGGATCTCCTACCAACACCCTGTATTCTTTCGAGCCTGAAATCATATCGGAATCTGAAGAGAGGGAACGAATAACGGCTATGGAGCAGAGGGAATTTCTCATCAAGAGCTACGGCTTGCTCGAACAGATATACGTAGCGATGAAGAGAAACGGTATGTTACGATCCGCCGACGAGAGAAAGTACGGTTTGTACGGCAAGTTGGGATTACGCGCAAACATGAACCACAGCACATGCTCTTCCTCGTGCAAGTCTTATCATTGTCAAAACGGCCATCTGGATATCACGCAAGCAGCCGCGAACCAATATTCCCTGAGAGTGAATGAAGTAAGTATGTATTTTTATCAATCGAGACATTGCTCGTCTCAAAAAATCAAATCCAGATATATAAATCAAATTTTACTCGACAAGTTTTTATGCTATTTATATTCAAAGAGAAGTAGATCTCTTCTTTCACTTTTTATATTTAACACAAAAAAAGAGATAATATTTATTAAGTATTCGAGAAATGTATGAAAGAGATATATATTATATAATTTTCCTTTTTAGCATAAATCGATGAATCAGCGTGAGTTTACAAATGCAAATAGAAGTAAGTATCGACAATAATTATTATGAGCAACGTTCTGGAAATTGTCGCCTCCTAGCAAACACAACGTTACATGTAACGTTACATGTACCTGTTAATTATTTTTCCACTCAACAATATAATAGTATAATAATATAATACATATTATATTAGCTATATTGTTAAGTGAGAAATTACAACTGCAGATAAGTGACATGTAACTTTGCATTTGCTGGGTTAATTAGATATGCGTTTAAAATCGTTATCTTTTTCAGGCTTGTGGATAACATGCAACGAGGCGTTCGTTTACGATCGTCCGAAAATATTACAAAAACTGTGGATGGAAGAAATAAATTCTAATAATCACATCGGACGCGTAACAAAGGCACACGTTGCTAGAACATTGTCGAATACCATTCGGCTACACACACTCGAGAGAAGAGAATCCTCCCATTTGATGAAATCTAAGTAAGCTGCATTCACGTTTTTATCTGTCATAATCTGTGCGTTCGTTTTTACAATAAGTTAAACTATAATTATGTACGGAAATATAATTATTTATTACAACAAAATTATTTAGAGTTGATGTTACCACTCAGCACTGAGGATGAACGGGTCATCTTCTCTAACTGGAATTTTAAAAAGCAAAAAAATATGCTATATAATACATATATAAAGAATTATTTTTTCGAAAGATATAAAAGATACAAAAGCAGGACATATAAAAGATTAATATAAAATTGACTAAGAAAATTTAAATAGATATTATGAAGATTTTGCAATATTATGCTATTAATATTCCTAATATTGAGCATAAATGAAGATTAATAAGATTCGTAATATTGGGAAATATTAATTTCACATTAAATATATTACATATATTCCTATAAAACAATTGCTCAGCCGCGTTAAAAATACTTTATTAAGTAAATTTATATATCGAGTCAAGGAGAAAAAGAAACAAGCCTTATCTCCAACATCTAGAAGTGCAATGAACTTCGGGACACGTCTCGGTATGTGAGCGGATTCTATTTTAAGGTAGAGAACAGTAATATATAAAAATCAACAATGTATCGACTTGTTATTTAAAGTGCCATATAAATATGTACAATAGATATATAAGTGAACATGTACACGTCGCATAAGAGTGGGAATTAGGTACGCGCCGATGCGTATGTAAAATGATCGTATACACATACGCAGACGCCAGTCTATAATATGTATAACAATTTTTATTGCTGATATATATTCTGTATTCACATAATAAAAAATAATCTATGAACAATTTGTCGCGTGCTGAGTTTTTGCTCCATTCGTGATATTGCGTCCACGTTGTTTTGTCGCAGCGTCTCATCATCTCGTTCCTTCAGTTTCTCTTCTTATTTTTTTTTTATCTATTAGTCTTATCGTTTTTCATGTCGCAATCGGTAAATCTGTCGTGGACGCGTTTCAAAAGTGCTACGACAAATAATAAGAATCCAAAATTCTTTCAAAGTTCAAAATCGAAATAACAATATCCACAATTTTATACAAAATAATACTATGTAAGAAGTATGTGTATGTATTTCCAGTGGATGTGTGTGTGTGTGTGTGTGTGTGTGTGTGTGTGTGTGTACATGTACGCATGCGTACATGTGTGTTGTATCTGTTTGTAAAGTAATGTGCCGAATTAGCAACGACAAGAGTTGCTCTCTTAAATTTCTAAATCACGACCGGACTTCCTAAATTACAATTCTTTTTTCTTCGACTATAAAACGTAACGGCATCAAATGATAGCAACACTTCGCAAAATCTACGTATGTAGGCGATGTAACGTCGGCATCCTCGACTGTAAACTGCGTTGTGTTACGTCATTGTAAGAACAAGAATAAGTGCGAAATACATTCAACATATTACGATCGATGAATCCTTTTTTTCTTAACGTGATATATATTATTTACATAAAATCACTGTGCGACTGCGACAAATATTTGCGCGTCTCTCTCACTTGATTCCCACCATATTAAATCTTAGATATAGAAAGGCTTATGTACATAAAGTCAATAGATATTTATATGATATCCTATATTATATCGCTTATAAAAAGAAAAAACCGTAAATATGTATTCTTGCGAAGTTATATTCTCCGTTAAAAAAAAAATCGTCATATATTTCGGCGTATATACATACTTCCTGAAAATAAAGGTAACTGCATTTGAAGAAAGTTGCAATGAGACAAACAGTTGGACAGATATAAAATGCATTTGTTTTGAACAGATTTTTACAAGAGGGGGTTAAGCTACCGTCGTAAAATATATCAAAATATCGTTATCGATAAACGAAGAAAGGAATTATTGCGCGACATGTATCGAGATAGATGCTCCGTAACATAAATTTGTAGCAATCACCTTTAAAATTATATAATCACTTATGACTTAATTCTGTGAAAGATAAAAATATTATCTTTAATGACTTAAATTACAGCTCATATACTTTTTTGTACTAGAAAATGATTCATCCGCTGCTTCGGCCATTGACAACGTTATTCGTCTTCGTAAATCGCTTAATCCCCTGTATCTTTTAATCTTCGCAATAAAAACAACGTTAACAGGTTTTCGTGATCTTCCCATGCGAGAAAATAGAAAGAAGATATGTGAAGATGGTATCCTATTCGTTGTAATACTAAAATATGAGCATTATGTAGGATCCTGCGTATGTTACTCACATGTAATATGTGTTAAAAACGATTATATCTAGTAAACAAGCTTAAGGCATGAATTATACGGAGACTTCGAGTAAAAAATAATTTAATTTTAGATTAAGAAATATTGGCTTATAAAATTAATTTCTTCATCTAAAATTAAATTCGTCAATTTCATATTGAGAATAAATTAGTAAATTTATCTAATTAAGGTACCGTAAACACTAATTATTTCAATAATAATTTCCGCACTTCGTCAGACCTCCGTTTAATACAGGCATTAAATGATATATATGTATATATATATATCATATATGTGTATATATATCTAGCTAATATTTCATATACATATAAAAAACTATACAATCCGTAGACGTAATTTTGTATTAGCTGCCGACGGAATTTAGTTTTTTCGTTTTAACAGTTAATCTCCTGACAATAATATGCTCTTTTTTTAAATATTAATATCGCCGATATTATAAACCTGGCAGATGCGAAGATTACGCTAGCTAGTTAAAATTGTTAAATGTGCACAGATTCCTTTAGCATGAAGTTGAGAGACATTACTTTGTTTTATTTCGAAATAGTTTGAATTTAATAACAAATTTGGTTGGATGCATTAGTGTAACTCAAAGTCTGTTGTACATTAATTTATCTAAATAGATATAATATAGGAGCTTTGAACGGTTAAACATCCAATGTATCCATTAAACGATGACGTAACTGTGATGGGCATCCCATTAATTTAACTATGTATGCAGTGTATGCCCGTATATCATTTTGTGTACAACAGTCTTTGTATACACTACTCAAATTCGCTACATATTATCTTTTATAAATATAACCGGTGAATTCAGATGAATGTAAATTATAAAAGCGCAAATACTAGCAAAAGACACGTAATCTGTGAGGCGCGATTCCAATAATTTTACAATTTCAATTTTTAACAATTTCATTTTTCACTTCAGTTTCGCTTGAATGTTAGAGGCTCATGCTGATTCCGTTTCTTATCTTTCTATTGAATTATAAAATCTTGTTACAATAGAAAAACCTGCACTTAATATCAGTTAAAATAAATTCCTGTTGTGTGCATAAGCAATCTCATTAAAGATTACTTCATAAATAAAACATTTTTATAAAAACTCTTTACACAACTTTAGAGATACATTTCTTACATCTTAATTTAACTACGCAGTTAAATCAAGAGTTTAAACCATGGCAACAATATACGTATAATCAACCAAATTATTATTAACATGAAAAAAGTAAAATATATTTAATTAAAGATTAAACTGACAAATCAGTTTTGCTTTTCGCTGTTATTGCAAATTCGATTGCATCACTGGCGCAAATTATAAAGCCTATTGTACATTTATTTACCGAAATGTAAAAACATAAACATCTTAAATTGATGAAATACACAACATATATTTTATCAAATATGATCCAGTCCGTTTAAATACTATGTTTTTACATTATTTATGTATAACAGTCTTTAAATATGTGCTAATGCGTCCATGCGTCTATTACGCGAATCCAACCGCGAATTTGCTATTAGGTTTTTTCAAAAAATAAAAGGCAACTTACTTATCTCGCGCATTTAAAAAAATTTGCCATATTATTTTTATTCTACATTTCATTTTCTATTTTGTTTAAAAACAAAAAATATTTCATCATATATGAATAAAATATTTACTTTCAGTCAGATTTATAGAAAAGTTAAAGAGAGCGTTAAAAAAATTAATCAAAAAAATTAAAGTAATAAAATTTACCATGGTTTTCTTTATACTAAAATAATAACATATAAAAATATAAGAATTGCAGCAGTTCAAGGTACATCGCCTGGGAGTATCAATATTGCATTTGTTTGTGTAATTCCGTTTTGAATGGAAATAGCTAATTCTGCTGATTGTATTAAGTTACAAACTTAAATTTAATAAAAAATTTAATATGTAAATTTTTAACAATAAAAATATGACTTGTGACAAGCTCTTACGTCAATCTGTATAATTCAATCAATATAATTTGTATCACAATAAATATATCATCTGCATGATAAAGGCGATATATTCATGAATGCAATAAACCAAAGACAATTTAAATGTATGATCTATTTTGTATATGATTTCAAATATATCAATGTGATTTTAATATTGATTTATACTTTTTATGCTATTATCTTAACAGAAATATAAAAAAATTATAATTACTGCGCGATGACAAATGCATTCGTACAAATCAATTTCTTTTAGTAAAATAATATTACAAACAACATTTAAATATCAATTGCAAAGATGATAACATTTATTACGATTGATCAGAAACGTTTATATATAGGATAAAACGAAGACAGTGCAAAATTGTTCACGGTTCATCTATAGTATGTGTCTTGCTTTACTAATAAAAAAATATGTAGGTACCATTAATTTTGGATACAATTAGTCATTTAAATGCAATTAATCATAGAAGTAGACCCTTTGTAAATCTTAAGTATTTAGAAATTTAATATTTTTAAAAATCTTTGTTTTGATATCTTGAGTCATAAATTTTTAAAATATTTTAAATTCTACTTTAATTTTTTATATAAAAAATTATACGATTATCAATTTTTCACTATCTGCCAAGATTCAATATTAAATAATATTATAATTTAAAATAATATTATAATAAAAAATAATATTATAATTTAATGAATCTAATGTATGAATCCATTTGTCATGAACAACTTGAAATTAAAATGACATTTGAGTGTTACACCTCTGCTTTCATATTCATCGATACAACTTACAATGATATTCTAATATTTCAACAAGTTAAAGCTAAGGTATTAACAAACATATTTTTATGTTGAATGCACGACTTCGCACGTGCATTAATATTTATCATGTGCTAGGGTGTTTGTGTATATGTGCTGTGTGCACAATCGCACACGCATATGTGCGTGTATTACATATAAACGCTAACAAATAGTCACTGGAGCGTCGCACGAACGACGGGACACGAAGTGTTATGGTTTAT